AGGCCTGGTTCACACCTATGCAGGTTGATTTTTTTTATCACACATTTGTTTGATGTGTTTTGCTTTTTTCGCTTTTCTTTTTTTTATTTTCTTGTTAAAAATGCAAAACACATTAAAAGTGTACTACGTGCATTTTTGCCGTGTGTCCATTGAAACTCATTATATCTGGTGTCCCACAGTACACACAACATGGACATGCAACTATTTTAGTAAATATTATTATTATTATACAGGATTTATATAGCGCCAACAGTTTGGGAGACATTACAGTTACAATACAATTTGGTACAAGAGGGAACAGAGGGTCCTGCTCATTACAGCTTATCTAGGAGAAACATAAACTGCTAAATAACTTTTCTCATCAGCAGTCTACAGTATAGCAGTCTTGTGACTTCTATCAGTGTCCAGCAGAGCACTGGTTAAAGTTTGTAGGAGGAGTTTTCATTCTCCTTTGGCTTCCCTGTGAGGCTGCATAACCCCTGACCTTCTGCCTGGACAGCACAAAGAGACCCTGTTCTGATCACATGCATTCTCCCAAGAAAAGATAAAACCTCTCTAGTAATACACACCAAGTTGAGCATGTGGAGCTTGCCCCCAAGGCTCTGTTCTCACAGCAGATGGATTGGGGACAGTAGAAGAAGGGGATGATCAGAGAAGACAGGATCAAACAGCCTTTTTACACAATGCGGAGGATTAACCCCTTAGGTTCCTCAGTGAGTATAACAAGCATGCTTTACTGCATCTACAGACTGATTGCTCCCAAGGCTCTGTTCTATCAGCAGATGAATTGGGGACAGTAGAAGGGGAGGATCAGAGAAGACAGGATCAAACAGCCTTGTTCCAAAATGCGGAGGATTAACCCCTTAGGTTCTACAGTGAGTATACCAACCATGCTTTACTGCATCTACAGACTGATTGTACTGTCGTGGGTTTAGTAACACTTTGATGGCAGAGCTGCAGTAATTTGTGTCTTTTCTATCTGCCTCCAAGTCAACCTTAAGAACAATTTAGCGTTCGTCTTTCCTTACAATTGACTTTGAATGCATTACAACCCCTTTGTTCGGTAACCATGTGTTACTGGCCCCTGATTCGTTGAGCTATGCTGCAGCTCAAACTTTTTTTAGTTGATGGCTTTTTGGTTTCTTTTGACCCTTTCACCATAGAAAAGGCAGAGAATGAGGTCATCACGTGTGAGGTCAAACCCATCCACCTCTAGGTCAAGGTCATCCTTTGAATGTGCATGAAATGCTGTCAGATGTCAGCAGCAAGCCTGGTTCCCCCAAGACCTGCCGGAATGTGCTGCTTTGCTCTTGATAAGACAGTTGTGAGGTCATGTCTGCGCAGGAGATATCTAGACAATGTTCCCTTCTTGTCCAGAGAAGACTCGGGTTATGTATTCATAGAAAGCATTCAACTTGTGCTTTGTGCAGGTTTTAAAGAACAACTTTTTTTTTTTTGCATGCCTCTCATATTTCTAAGTTCGGGAAAATAGTCCTTAATAGGCTTCAACATTTTTAAGCAAGTGACACATCACCGCTAAAGAAGCCCCGGTTCACATCTATGCGGCCGTGTGGGCTGCGTTTTGCGCAGGCATGAGAGCCCATTCATTTGAATTGTCTTCCGTGCCCCGGGACACGCAGGGAAAGAAGTCCCTGCACTTCTTCTGAAAACGCAGCCGAGGTTCCCAGTACGGTTGCATTTTCCAGTGCGGGCGGCGTGCCATTAGAATTAATGGCACCCACCCACGGGTCCGCATTTCTCTGTGTGGGTGGTGCGGCTGCACGGATTTACGTGTGGACCCGCACAGATGTGAACCTAGCCTAACTCTTTGTCTTTAACCCCCCTGGAGGTATTCCCGAGTGTAGCTCGGGGTAAAGTTTCAGCACCACAAGCGGTAACCCCCCCCCCCCCGAGCTACACTCGGGACTACACTGCAGCGTTGCTCCGGGATCTGTTCTGCACTTACCTTGTCCTGCGCTCCCGCGATGTCCCCCCTGCAGTGTCCCCGGCCATGTCCTCCGGCCGATGCCGGCATCTGTCTTCCGGGTTCCGTTCCCTGCGACGTCGGGACGTACGGGGGACGGAACTGGCGGGAAATTTAAAAATGTGAAAAAGTGACATTCACTAAATACACTAAAATCACATCGTATAACATTCCTGTATCAAACCATTTCACATACATTTTGTCCCGAGTGCTTTGTCCGGCGCCCTGCCTGCATTTTTACTGTTCTTTCTGCCTGGAAACTGAGAAACGTCCATGGCGTCCAAAAACGTCCCTTTAGGTCAGACGCGGTTTTAGACCGGCTAGAGAACAGCGATAGTAAATCAGAACCACTTGCAGAATTGAGTGATAATGATTCGTGGGGGGAAATTTCCATGCAAAGTTGATAAAATCTACTCCTGAACGCATTCAAAAAAATTACTGTAAACTCAACTGCCTGTAAACAACGAGGTGTACACGGACACCTAGGAAAACATTAGGGAGAGTTCAGGGGCTGCTGAGAAAAAACGCAGAAAAGCTCCTAAACGTGAGTTTATCAGCTGCAGTGTACATGGAACCTTACTGGGGAAAAATGAATTCAGCCAACAATGCCTACTATATTCAATGCTAGTATATGAGGTGAGACTTTATGTTCGAAAACTCAAATTGTATTGAGCAAATCGGTAGTAGTTGAGGAATCAGTATTAGGTACTTGGGTAATGGGGGTAGCACAGTGGCTAAATGGTTAGCATTTCCGCCTGGCAGTACTCGGGTCATTGGTTCATATCCCAACCATGGCACCACCTGCCTGGAGTTTACATGTTCTCCTTGTGCCTGTGTGGGCTTACTCCAGGTACTCCAGCTTCCTCCCACACTCCAAAGACATGCTGGTAGGTGAATTGTCTCCTGTCTAAATTGTCCCTAGTATGTGTATGTATGAATGTGAGTTAGGGCCCTTATGCAGGCCATAGACATGGTGAAAACTGGCCGTTTAAAAAAAAAAAAAAAGAAAAGAAAAATCGGTCGTTCAATCGGCTGACGTTACCACCAACGGTAAAAAAAATAGGCAGATATTCGTCCCGTCTACAGCTGGCATTTAATTACTTGTGTCCCTGCAGAGATCTCCGCTATTATATTTGACATGAAAAAGTATAGCGGTTGCAACAATGTATCCATTTGTATCCATTTCGGATACAGGGTTTTTATTAGGATACAAATGGATACATTGTTGCAACCGCAAGACTTTTCATATAAAATATAATAGCAGACTGGAATTCTTCTTCTTTTTCTTCTTCTTCTTTTTCTTCTTCTTGCAGGTCACGGCTCATGCGCAGATTTTTTATTGGTAAAAAGATCGGCCGATTTGCCCATCATTGCCATGAAAATCGGACGATTTTTTCCAACTTTACCGATAACAAAATGTGCCAAAATCCCTTAAAACGGCCGACCAATTAACCCACTAACGGTGTGAAAATCGGCCGATTTTTGACCTGTCTATGGCCTGCTTTAGATTGTACACCCCTTGAGGGTTAAGGACCTTAGATTGTACGCCCCTTGAGGGATAGGGACCTTAGATTGTACGCCCCTTGAGGGTCAGGGACCTTAGATTGTACGCCCCTTGAGGGTCAGGGACCTTAGATTGTACGCCCCTTGAGGGTCAGGGACCTTAGATTGTACGCCCCTTGAGGGTCAGGGACCTTAGATTGTACGCCCCTTGAGGGTCAGGGACCTTAGATTGTACGCCCCTTGAGGGTCAGGGACCTTAGATTGTACGCCCCTTGAGGGTCAGGGACCTTAGATTGTACGCCCCTTGAGGGTCAGGGACCTTAGATTGTACGCCCCTTGAGGGTCAGGGACCTTAGATTGTACGCCCCTTGAGGGTCAGGGACCTTAGATTGTACACCCCTTGAGGGTTAGGGACCTTAGATTGTACCCCCCTTGAGGGTCAGGGACCTTAGATTGTACGCCCCTTGAGGGTTAGGGACCTTAGATTGTACACCCCTTGAGGGTTAGGGACCTTAGATTGTACCCCCCTTGAGGGTTAGGGACTGATGTGAATGTACAATATATATGTAAAGTGCTGCGTAAATTGACGGCGTTATATAAGTACCTGAAATAAATAATAAATAGAACTGGCAAAAATATTGTTTTCAGCACACTGTTATTATTGCCGAAAACTTTCAGTGGAATTATGGAAAGAAATTTCTTAAGGTGGAAAACTTTAGCATCTATTTAGAGGCAGTAATTAACACCATAATAGAACAGAGCAGAAAGATTATCGCACATTTTGTTTTGTGTGCTAGAACGCATTAAAATAACACGCCGTTGTGATTAAATAGAGAGCTGATTGCTGCATCCTGTGACTCATTGCGGATTAACATCAGTGCAACATAAACAGCACACCGGGCCTAATGGAAATGATGTTTATAATTAGTAATTATGTTTGACAGGGACGGGTCATTTTATGGAACCGGGGCTGGAGGCCAGGCCATCTGAAACACCATTACCGACCAATAATTCAAGACAGATGGCTGCAGTAATAATAGCAGCACACCTCAAGTGAGGAAAGTGATAGATGGAATTATTTGTTTATCACAGGACAATAAAAAAAGCAGACAAGAGTGTATTTCAATGGTTCTATCATAGTACAGTAATACATTTTGCATCATGTTTAAGCAATATAGGCGACACGGTCATTACTGAAATGTCATTTATTTTGCTTTCTGTAGGCCAATCAACACTTAAAGGGTTAGTTCACCTTTACGAAAAATCTGCCTATGCATGTGTAGCAGTACCCCCTGAGGAATCACTGAGTTTTGGGTCCCCCTATAGTCTTGCACAGCTAGGCAACACGCATTTTCTTCAGGCCTTTGCACACTGGAGTCAGCAAACTCCATGAGCTTGTTTTTTTTTTAGTTTTATTAAGAGTATTGAACTTGGATGGGGTTGAGGGGTGTATGGGATGCCCAGGTAGACTGCAACATTAGGACAACTCCTTGGCAGCTATGTACAAGTCCACAGCAGGGGCGGACTGACAACTCATAGGGCCCCCGGGCAATAGGGGATCATGGGGCCCCTGTGTCCTTGCCCAAACACAAAAAAGCCTATGAAAAAGGTACCAGGGGTATCTCATGGGGCCCCCTACTGATCCCGGGCCCTCGGGCAGTGCCCGAGTTTCCAAATGGTCAGTCCGCCCCTGGTCCACAGACAAAGATTCTTTTCTTTGAGAGCTCTCCAGCCCTCCTGTTGTACCACCTCAGACCCCAGATGAATCCTCCTCTTCACTTGGCTGCCTAAGGGAATCCCTGAGCAAGGGGACCCAGAATCTGTCACTTTAAATCAACAGTCCCAGATAGGGGCTAGTCAGGTTTCACACCAGAATGCCCTCTCCCCTTGTCTGGCCCAGGGTGTGTGGGGATTGCCCACTCTCCTGCAATCTTGTGGGTTGGTGGCTGCCTTCAGGCCTTATGCTGGTCTGGCTCCTTCCCTGATTCCAAGGCTGTCCTCTCTCAGGTGATGTTGAGGCTTAGAGATCCTCTCCTGGGCCCCCTGCCAGGCTCCACACTCCAGTCTTCACTCCATCTTCCACCTGACACTACTCCTCATGCTGAGCAGGCTCAGGCATATTTAAAGGCTGCCCTGACCCCATGCCAAGCCTCCTGCTTGGAGATTGGCCAAGATCCCTTAACTATACAGATCAGCACCTCCTCACCCCCACCCACTGGCTTCTAGAAACTACTCAAGCTTCTAGAGCAGGGGGGAAGTATCAGGAAACTGACCCACAGAGCCCTCAGCCCTGACCCCAAATAACCTACCTTACTCATACCCAGGCTGACTCCTCCCAGGCTGCTATTTAGCCCTTATCTAAAAATACCTATCTAGATCCCCCTAGCTAACTAGAAGGGCGCTACACAGGTAAGGGGTGCTTGTAGACAAAAACAAACTGTGCAGCTTTGGGCAAAGATAAATAATGCCATTTCTGTAGGTGTGGGCAATTTACTTACCTCCAGAAGCCATTATTACTCATCACAGGAGAGGGTTTGTAAACTCCCACATGTGTGGCTCACTATCTCTTCCATTGCACCATCTCAGCTCAGAGTTTCTGCGACAGGGGAGAGGGAGAGCAGATGAAAATAGAGTTTGAATCCGCTGGAAATAACTTAGCAACATCCTAGCAACAAAGCAGGACAAGATGATGCCATCTTTGGGCTTTGTTCAGTCTGGCTTCATGAGGTGTATAAATGGCCTTCACCTATAGCAAGGGCATTATTTAACTTTGGTCAAAGCTGCACAGATTGATTGTTTGTTTGACTGGTGCCTCTTACCTCCATATACAGTTTTTTTGGTAAAGGTATACTAACCCTTTAAACATTATGCAGGTCAGGAGAAACAGAATATTGGGTAAAAGGACTTGGCAGTCACTTTGTAGCTGGTCACATCTGCTGGACACCTTGGTCAATTATTCCATTGACCACCATTCCCTGTACCGCCAATGTTCCTAAGCCCAAAATGTTGCCAAACAAGAGGCAGCTAGGTAGAGTCATATTAGTGAGATCAGCACTGCCTGCCTAGCATTACTAATATTCAGAGGTAAAACTATCTGCAGATAGTAAATGGTTCCATGTACTATGTACAGCTCAGATGAAATGCGCCTCTTTTATCTCTGTAATTCTGTGTCTTGATGCTAGTTATTTATTATTATTTTAATTTTTTATTTAAGGTATGCAACAAGACCATGTAGTATGACATGTCAGTCTGTTTTCAATGGTATCCATCAACAGCAATATATGAAGTGTTTACAAATGAAGGGTTAAAAGACATCACTAAAGCAACAGACCAAGTCCCTCACAAAAACATACAATGCTTAAAGTCTTATGGCCATGGTGTCCACAGAAAGAATATCCTTCATTATGGTGAAAGACATATATATAAAAAAACAGACCAGTACACACTGAGATTAGTTATGTATTATAAAGGACCTCCTTGCTTCCTACCAGTAAGCTGTGGATAAGTTGGAGCTCAACTTTTTCCACTGGAGTCAAAATTTGCATATTAATGCTCTACGTTTCAGGCCTTCTGAGTTGCTTGAGCAGCTATCTACATATATGTGCAGGCACATCCAGGTTCCTGTAGGCATCCGAACATCACTAGAGCTCCTTGAGATATCCAAAACTCAGGGCACTTTAATGCGCAGATAGCTCCTAGACCTTGCATTTTCGCACTCAGCCCCATCTATTTCTATTCCATTCAGCTTCCCATTGGCCACCAAAAATGATCAGTGGCCTTAGTGGCAAACTGTAAAAGCTCCCGGACAGGAGAAGGTGAGACAGAGCTTAAAGAGACATATTTACATTAAAAGAAATTAAAAAGATAAATGAAACTAGAACATTGACATAAAGGAGGTGAGACTTGCTGACCTAGAAGGTCTACTCGTCTACTACGGGCCACATTAGAACATTGTTTTTAAAATATAAAAGAACTGTAATTTGGTTTTCTTCATAACCTCAATGTTTTCCATACCTATACAAACTTTTTTTTCTACTGCTTGTTCATATTCTATCAAAGATAGTTATCATTCAACATTATTAGCCACTATTCACTGAATGTTCTTCAAACCCCAACCCCAGGCAGTACGACATGCGGCCAAATATTGTTACTCTCTGCTCTATTACTACAGTGAGGCAAATTTAGTTTTTGGCTTTGTTTGTTCCCATCCTACCTATCCCTCTGTACTTTTAGTGTCACTTATAATTCTTCTTTCTCTTCTCCACTTCCTTTCTCCTTCGGGGTCTCCCAAGGATCTGTTCTTGGACATCAACTATTCTCAATCTACACCTACTCCCTGGGTCAGCTAATAGCCTCCCATGGCTTCCAATACCATTTCTACGCTAATGACACCCAAATCTATCTTTCTATTCCTCAGCTCATAAGCTCAGTCTCCTCACGCATCACTAATTTACTAACAGACATATCAGACTGGATGTCAATACAAAAGGGATAACAAGTGCATGGTGTGGCAGTCCATGTATGTATTGATGAGTTCCAAGTGTAGTCCAGTAGGCACTAAGGGCAAGCTATGACGGAGCGAAACATAACTCTCCAGAAAGGAAACAAAGAAACACAGCGCCTCTAAGTGTGTACTGTGAAGGTAATAATAGAAAGATAAATAGTAACTCACATCTTAGAATATAAAAATAGGCTCATGGGTAAGAGGGTGAGATGTCTATAGCCAGATGTTGTGTGACTGATCCAGAGAGGAGATCGATTAGGTCCGCCAGCAGATGGTGCTGTGCATGTGCAGCATGGATGGTAAGCCTGGTGGAATCTCCAAGGTGTCTGCCAGCAGATGGTGTTGTGCATATGCAGCACAGATGGTGAAGCCTGGCAGAGTCTCCAAGATGTCCGGGATCAGCACGTCTGGCGTTTGACATCATCAATGTGCGATGCGTTTCTGAGCATGCGCGGGACGAGTGGAGTCCAGGCGCGCTCTTTCATCACAGTACCTTCACAGTACACACGTAGAGGTGCTGTGTTTCTTTGTTTTCATATCAGACTGGATGGCACATCACTTCCTCAAACTCAGTCTACCCAAAACCGAGCTCATAATATTTCCTCCCCCACCTGTCTATTCCCCTGACTTCTCTGTCAAGATTGACGGCTCAACTATCAACCAGTCCCTGTGTGCCACAGTACTAGGTGTAATCCTGGACTCTGAACTATCCTTTCGGCCCCACATCCAATCAATGTCCAAAGCCTGCCGCCTAAACCTCTGCAAAACATCTTCAAAATATGCCCCTTCCTAACCAATGACACCACCAAGCTCCTAGCCCACTCACTGGTCACCTCTTGCCTTGACTACTGCAACTCCTTCCTCATCGGACTACCTTTACATAGGCTATCCCCCCATCATGAATGCTGCTGCCGGACTCATCCACCTTACCAACCATTCAGTGTCTGCTACTCCTCTCTACAGATTCCTCCAGTGACCTTATGTATTTCTTGACCTTTCCTCTTAGATTGTAAGTTTTAATGAGCAGGGCCCTCTGAATTCTGTATTGTAATTGTACTGTCTGCCATTATGTTTGAAAGTGCTGCGTAAGCTGTTGGCGCTAAATAAATCCTTTATAATAATATTAATAATTGCTTTTGGCTGCTCTGGGTTCTACTGATTGCAGGCTCTGCTGCTTTCCCTTGGAATCTGGTAGTTTCCAGAATATAGTGGGTGGAGGAAGCAGACCCTCCCCTGAATATTCATGTAGCCTCAGCCAATTCCTGGCAGGAAGGGAGCTGAGATGTGTATAAATAGGCTAGGGCCTGGAACAGTAGGGTCCTTGCCAGGGGCGGACTGACAACTCATGGGGCCCCAGGCAATAGGAAATCATGGGACCCCTGTGTCCTCGCCAACACTCAAACCACACCCAAAAAAGCCTATGGAAGTTATCAGGGGCATCTCATGGGGCCCCCTTCTTACCCCGGGCCCTCGGACAGTGCCCAAATGCCCAAATAGTCAGTCCACCCCTGGTCCTTGCTTCCATGGGAGAGGACCCAGACTGAGGGCTGATAGCTGCAGCTTATAAGAGACCACCTGGGTGTGCAATATGGGTCCCAGCTTTGGCTAGAGCTAGGGTATCCATGTTCAAAGTTCCTGTAGAGCAGTGCAGGAGGCCAGCAGAGGGTCTGACCTGAGACATCCAGTACAGAGACCGGCTGGTGCTGCAAGAAACCATGGAAGTGGCTAAGGCACAGTGGGTTCAGGCCTAAGAGATCCCAGATGCTGTCCATGTTACCTATTTGGAGAGCTCACTCCAGTTTGCTGACTCAGGCTTTACCTTTGCAAAAGGGGTCCCCTGAGTTGTAGTTCACCAGATACTGAAAACAAGAGGGTGGCTGCACCCTAAAAATACAGCACAGTTAGAAGTGTCCTCTATTATCTATATGCTAGTTTGAAGTATCCCAAGGCCACTCATGGGGCCCCCGGGCAATAGGGGATCATGGGGTCCCTGTGTCCTTGCCCAAACTCAAAAAAGCCTATGAAAAAGGTACCAGGGGCATCTCATGGGGCCCCCTACTTACCCCGGGCCCTCGGACAGTGCCCGAGTTTCCAAATGGTCAGTCCGCCCCTGCGCAAGTTCACCCACACCCTACTCAAGTTATACCAGCAAAAAAACTACAAAAAGACATGCACTGCCTGCTTTATGGGT